TTCTGTAGAACATTTGAGATCGTTTTCTTCCTTGTTTGTGTGATTACCAGTGAGTTGTATATTATCCTGTGTCTTCATTGTCATCTGTTTACTCCAGGTTTTAGACTCCCTTTACTGTTTCTTGTACAGCCAGTCTAGTGGTAATGAATTTCCTTAGCTTTTACTTGCCTGGGAAATTATTTCTCCTTTATTTTTGAAAGGTAATTCTGCTGGATTGAATATTTTTGACTGTCAATTTTGGTTTTTTTCTTTCAGTGCTTTGAATATATCATCCCATTCTCTCCTGGCCTATTAGGTTTCTGCTGAAAAATCTGGTGTTTGATGGGGGTTCCTTTATAGTTGACTAGATGCTTTTCTCTTGCTGTTGTTGGAATTCTGTCTTTTGCCTTTGACTTTAGACAGTTTGATTCTAATATGCCATGAAGACCTTTTTTGCATTCTATCTATTTGGGCATCTCAGAGTCTCCTGTATCTGGATATCTAAATTGTTTTTGCTAGACTTGGGAAGTTTTTAATTATTATTTTCCTAAACACATTTTATAACCCTTTCATTCTCTCTTCACCTTCAGCCCAATAATTCAAAAATTTGATTGCTTTATATATGTGATAAAGGTTTTGCTCATTCCTTTTTCTTTATTTTTGCCTGACTGGATTATTTCAAAAGAGCTGTCATCACATCCTGAGATTCTTTTGTTACTTGATCTAGTTTATTGTTGAAGCTTTGAATGTATTTTGTATATTATTCAATGACTTCTTTAGTTCTAGAATTTCTGTTTGGTTCTTTTTCATGATATCTGTCACTTTGGTTAATTTCTCATTCACATTCTGAATTTTTTTGGTATTGTTTTTTATAATTCTGTTATACCTCACTGAACTTCTTTAGAATCAGTCATTTGAATTCTTTTTCTAGTATTTCATAAATTTATTTTTGACTGGGATCTGTTCCCAGAGAATGATTGTGTGTTCCTTTGAAAGTGTCGTATTTCCTTGCTTTTTCATGTTTCCTGTGTCCTGTTGATACTGCACATCTGGTTTAATAGTCACTTTTTTCAGTTTTTGGTTTTTGGTTTGTTTTTAGAGACAGCGTCTCACCCTGTTGCCCAGACTAGAGTGCAGTGGTGCAGTCTCGGCTCACTGCAACCTCCACCTGCCAGGTTCAAGCAGTTCTGCCTTAGCCTCTTGAGTAGCTAGGGTTACAGGCACGCTCCTCCACAGCCAGCTAATTTTTGTATTTTTAGTAGAGACAGGGTTTCACCATGTTGGCCAGGCTGGTCTTGAACTCTTGACCTCAGGTGACCTGCCTGCCTTGGCCTCCCAAAGTGCTCGGATTACAGGTGTGAGCCACCATGCCAGACCCGCTTTCAGTTTTTTCAATTGGCTTTCATATGGGAGAACTTTTTCCTGTAGATGCATCTGTAGTGTTGGTGGGGTAGGACACTTTGGTTTTGATCCTGGATATGTGCAGTAGTGTAGTCTCTATGTGATTTCTTCAGCTGTAAAGAGCATCAATGATGACTGTGACTTCCTCAGTGTCTTAGGGTACAATTATTGGTGGAAGTTGCGGTAAAGTTTTGCTAGGTACTGGGACCCCAGATAGGTTAGTCTTTGGGTCCTAGAGGTGGGAGCAGTGGGCTGAGCATGTCTGTCCTTGGGCCCCAGGATGGCGTATGCTGGTACCAGGGTTAGTGCATCAAAGCAAGCTGATTCTTGGGCCTCTTGCTGACCTAGTTGGATCCCAGTAGTGGCAGCAGTGCATGAGTTCTTGGGCCCCTGGGCAGGTGACATGGCATGGGTGATGACAGTGGCAGTGGAGGGGTGACCTTTAGATCCCAGGTGGTACATGCTTATGTTGGTGGAGGCTGTTATGAGCTGTGCAGGCCAGTCTCTAAGACTGCAGATGGCATGTGCAAGGAGGTGCTAGCTGTGGTGGTAGCAGCCAGGTTGATATGTCCAACTCAGGCACCTGGGAGGAGTGTTCAGGTGCCAGTGTGTTGGACTGGGCTGAGCAATCACCTGGCCCTCAAACTGTGCTATGGCATAGGCAGAGGGAGATGAGGCCAGCCATGGTAGGCATGGTAGGCAGGGGTGATCCCCAGGCTACCAGTGGAATGCTCGGGTAGAGGGAGACAGGAGTTGTGGTGATACCCTGCCACTGGGAAGAATGGTACTGCCTTCAGTGACAGGCAGCCTAGCCCAGTGGATGGGGAAGGAGTGTACCACCTGTTCTTCAGCCCTGCTACCTTGCTCTTGCCTCAGCCCATGGTACATTAGCTGGCAGTTCTTTGCGCTTAAACACCTGGGGCAGCAGCCGTGCTTCTCTTGCACTTCAGTCCTGATGCTGCTGGGTTCTAGTAGTGCATTTTGTTGGCGGAGGGCTCTAAAATGACACATTTACTGAAGCTGCTTAAGTCTCAGGGAGCTTGTGAAACCCAGTGCAAGCTCCCTCCCTGGAGCAGTGCCATCACAGAACCTTTCAGCAGCTCTATTTTAGTTTCAGCCTGTGAAGGTTGAAGGGTTCTTCTGTGGCTAGGATTGCAGGAGTCCATGGTGGGAATGTGGACTGCTAAGATTCTCTAACCTGAGTCTCTCTCAGCATCCCAGCCCTGTAGGCTGTCTCTACTTCCTTTAAGTATTTCTTGTCACTTTACTATTGAATTTCAGTGTTCTCTCTTGGATGATCTATTCAGAATGTGATTACTCACTGTCTTGGTTCTTAGTGGAAGAGACGAATATGAAATGGCTCTAGTCAGCTATCTTCTTTCTATACTTTACATACTTACTATTTTAGTGTATATTTATTTACTCTGGAATGTACTGTAAAGTTTCTAGTATTAATATTATTTGGCCGATTATTTTAATGATTATATAGTATTGTATGAATAGTATTATATGTCAGTTTTCCTTTACTGGTCTTTTACAATTGGGCGTTTAGATTGTTTCCAATATTTTGCTAATTTAAGCAGTGCTATGATGACTATCCTGGCACCTACATCTTTATATATATGCAATTATTTTCTCAGGTAAATTCCTAAATATCTGAGTGAAAGAGCTGCATGCTTCAAGCCCCACCCTTTTTTTTTTCCGGACGGGGTCTTACTCTTTTGCCCAGGCTGGAACGAAGTGGTGTGATCAGCTTACTGCAGCCTTGAACTCCTGGGCTCAACGATCCTCTCACCTCAGACTTTCAAAGTGCTAGGATTACAGGCATGAGCCATGGCACCTTAAAATGGTTCCTGGCCTATTTTATGATTTTTAAGGCATATTGAGAAGGTGCCTTGCAGAAAGGTTCTTTAAATATAATTTCCACCAGTGGCATCTGACAACAAATACTATCAGTTGTTTTCCTTGAAGCAGTAGAGTGACGTTGTTTATTTTCAGGAATATACCTGTTAAATATCTGAGTTTGAATAATCAGTTTGTTTACTAGTAGTTCTTATAAATGGCCCTTTCTTTGTTTTTGTTCATTTTTTAAAAACTCTTATTTTAGGTTCAGGGGTATGTGTGCAGGTTGTTTTATAGGTAAATTCATGTCATGAGGGTTTTTTATACAGATTATTTCATCACCCAGGTTCTTCTGCTCCTCTCCCTCCTCCCAACCTCCACTCTCAAGTAGGCCCCAGCAAATGTCTGTTGTTCATTTCTTTGTGTTCAGGAGTTCTCATCATTTCGCTCCCACTTATAAGTGAAAATGTGCATTATTTGATGTTCTGTTTCCATGTTAGTTTGCTAAGGATAATGGCCTCCAGCTCCATCCACATTTCCGCAAAAGATATGATCTTGTTCTTTTTTATGACTGCGTAGTATTCCATGGTGTATATGTACCACATTTTCTATATTCCATCTGTCATTGATGGGCATTTGGGTTGATTCCATGTCTTTCCTATTGTGAATAGTGCTGTAATGAACAGTTGTGTGCATGTGTATTTATGGTAGGATGATTTATATTGCTCTGGATATATAGCCAGTAATGGGATGGCTGGATCGAATGGTAGGTCTGTTTTTAGCTCTTTGAGGAATCACCATATCGCTTTCCACAATGGTTGAACTAATTTACGGTCTCACAAACAGTGTATAAACGTCCCCTTTTCTCCGCAACCTTGCCAGCCTCTGTTATTTTTTTGGCTTTTTATTAATAGCCATTCTAACTGGTGTGAGATGGTATCTCACTGTGGTTTTCATTTGCATTTCTCTAATGATCAGTGACTGAGCCTTTTCCACATGCTGGTTGGCTGCATTTATGTCTTCTTCTTCTTTTATTTATTTATTTTTTTTGTTTATTTTAAGTTCTGAGGTATATGTGCAGGATGTGCAGATTGTTACATAGGTAAACATGTGCCAGATGGCCTTTCATTAAAAAAGCCCAGTTCCATTTGCAAATCAAACAGTTGTCTAAGTGTTTCTTCACAGGACAACCATCATACTTTATAGCAGTAGTCAATTTTTGAATTTTTGAATTCCTATCTTGTCACACAAAATATAATAAAAATATATACCCAAGGGTCAAAATTTAATTAATAATTTTTCTACTTCATGAAGGATATTCCTAAATATTCTTAAATATCTTCATCATGCTCCTTCCCCTGTCGTGGTGGTGAAGAACATAATAATTACTAGTGCAGTTTGGAGCCACTGCCTTGATTAATGCAAGATATTAGCAGTTTTATCCAACATTGCTCTTACAGCATGAGAGCAAATGTCAAAACTGAAAAAAGGAAGTAACTTTTTGTTAGTATTACCATGAAACAAATTGAGACCTCATGGAGGCCTAAAAGGGTGTCAGAATTCTCCACAGGTCCCAACACTTTGATGATACTTTTCTAAACAGTCCCTATCTGTGCAGCCTTTCTGTCATTCCCTGGTTGACTAATTGAATGTGCTTCTTAGTTTTTAGGTGTGTGTTGAGAGTGGTTTCAGAAAGTTTACTTTTGCTCATACTAAAATGAGAGCATGCTGTGGAGTTAGAGTCATGTTGCTTTTTCATCATTTGTTTTTCATACCAGGTTCATCGTTGGGTCAATTATGAATCCATGCTGAAAGAATGCCTGGTTGGCAGAATGGCAGTTAAACCTGCTGTTCTGAAAGGTAAGTCGTGCTGGTGCTAAACCGGCATAGATGTGTGGTTCGTGTGTGTGTGTGTGTGTGTGTGTGTGTGTGTGTGTGTGTGTGTGTGTTTTAGCTTGGATTTAAGCAACTAGATCTATTCAAATTACTATAGTTTTGTCATTTTCATTGGCCTCCTGGTCCAGACACTCCAAAGGTTTTCCTTCATTTCTTCTCTAGAATCATGTAGTGATTCTTTCCCTTAAAAGTACAACTGTTTTTTTAGAGAAAGTTCAATATGAGGAGTATAGCTCTTAGGGTTGATTTTTAGATTAGTGTTTTTAGAATTTAATTTTTTAAATAATATAATCAAATGATTCAAAAATAAAAAAATATAAAAAGTTATACACTGAAATCTGTCATCCCAGCCTTGTCTCCCATTTGCCATGAACCTTCCGACTCTTTGCTCCCTCTCTACAGATAACCCCTATTCTTACTTTAAACTTTTTCTAAAGTGCAACCCATTTTTTCTCCCCAGCTCTGAGATGGGACTCTAACCTGAGTGATGTTTGAGGTCATCTTTTTAATTAATAAGCTTCTTTCAGAAGATTACTTTTTGAAAGTTTTAGACATGGAATTGTAGTAGCAGGAATACTTCGCATAACCCTTTTCTGTGAATAAATGGTAATTGTTTCTTTTGAGTAACTCCTTACCTTCTTACCAAAATTAGGAATTAATTTCAGCCAGAGTCTTTCACTACTTCATTTAGTGAGTTTTGTAATTCAAGGCTTTATTGACACAGACTTCGATTGACAGTATGGAAATAGTACAGTCTGAACCCTAGCTCCATGGTCTATTGGCTGTTCAATTGCTGGACCAATTTCTACCTGTGAGCCTCAATTTCCCAATGTGTACAGTGCATGTAAATGTTAATAAATAAAGATTATTTCTTTTTATTCCTGTTGCTGGAAATCAAGTAAAATATACCTCTGCACTTACAATGCTGAAGCTATTTTTGACTCCTTTATGTGTCCCTGAAATTGTCAGGCATAACCAGCATGTATTATAAGACATGTGTCTTACCATGTGAGATGTTCTGTTTCTGTGAAAAATAAAGTTATGATTATTTATTATTAGGACTAGGTGCAGTGGCACATGCCTGTAATGCCAGCACTTTGGAAGGCTGAGGTAGGAGGATCACTTTAGGCCAAGAGTTCAAGACCAGGCTGGGAAACACAGTGAAAACCTGACTATATAAAAACATTTTTTAAAATTAGCTGGGAGTGGTGCCTGTAGTCTCAGGCACTCATGAGTCTGAGACAAGAGGATCACTTGAGTGAGGAGTTCAAGGCTGCATTGAGCTATGATCATACCACTGCACTCGAGCCTGGGTGACAGAGCAAGAGCCTTTCTCTAAAAAAAAAAATAATAATAATACACATACATATAGTTATTATTATTGGCAGGACATATGAGTGGGGTTGTGAATCATTTTGTGCCTCACAACCCGACTGATATAACCTTTTGGGATCATGAGCGTTTTTTGCTAGGGTGAGGCTAGTAGCAGATAGTAATATGAGACAACTTACAAGACATGAGGAAGCAAAGATGAGAAATTTATGAAGCAGAAAATGTTGGTTATGAATAATGGGACTTTTGTACCAGTTGAAATTTAAGACACACACACACACACACACACACACACACACACACACACACTCTGAAGACCAAATAAGCAGTGGATTGGGGTCAAGTAATAAGTAAGATATTGAAAGATACAGTCAGAACTCCAGGGTCACTAGAACAAGGTGACCACATAAAAGGGACAAGCAGCTAAAGAGAAAGATTTAATGTGTCAGAAATAAGAAATACTTATAATAATTAAAATGAAGTGTTATTTTGACAGTATCTTATATACCCTTCACCTGTAGGCAAGGACTGATCATTAGTCTCTGCTGGCTTAAGACTTACCAATAGAGACTATTAGCTGGGATAACCACATAATTGTCCAAACTAAGACAATTTGAAGAATGAAAGGGGGCTCTATTAGTAATTATGCTGGAACAATAGTGGTAAACTTTGACTCTGGCACACCAGGGCATGTGTTCACCCTACAATTAGAACTCCTAGATTAACTGGAAACAAAGGATGAAAACAAAGGATGAAGTGGAAATCAAGGCTGAAAAGAGACTGTTCCTAACATGGAGGTTTGGGGAAATGGTGGATATTCTGAAGACGAATTTTACACATGGGCTCTTTTTAATACCCAAAGCTTGAAACAGTCTTCTAAATGAGGTGACGTACCATATCCTCCAAAGCAAGGGATCCTAACGTTTTTGGGGCATCCCACAGTTGGACAGCTCTGGGAAGTTAGTTTTCAGTTCATCTGATGGCTTCTAGTCTGGCAGTGGTAAAATACCTGGGTATCTAGGAAGAAGCCAGAAAAGCTAACAGACTCGGAATATAAACCATAATACAGTTGTGTTATTATCAAGCAAAGAATGAGTTGTATTTATCATAATCCTTTGTTTAAAAAGTATTATGGTAGGCCAGGTGCAGTGGCTCACACCTGTAATCACAGCATTTTGGGAAGACGAGGTGGGTAGATTATCTGAGGTCAGGACTTCAAGACTAGCCTGGCCAACATGGTGAAACCCTGTCTCTACTAAAAATACAAAAAAAAAAAATTAGCTGGGCGTCGTGGCAGGAGCCTGTAATCCCAACTACCCAGGAGGCTGAGGCATGAGACTCGCTTTAATCCCGGCGGAGATGGCAATGAGCCGAGATGGTGCCACTGCACTCCAGCCTGGGTGACAGAGCAAGACTCCATCTCAATTTTAAAAAATAACAAAATAAAATAAAAAGTATTGTGGTTTGTATTATGCTTTAAAAATATGTATTAATAATGAATGAAAGGAGAAATTTTACTTGAAAAGGTAAACTTCAGTTATTGATAATTTATATCTGTGGAATACTTCATTATCTGGTAAAGATGAAAAATGAGTGCTCGTTCTTTGCCCTTATTTTTTGGCTGTTACTGTAGCTATTTGTCACATGTGGCTATTGAGCACTAGAAATATGCCTAGTGCAAATTCAGACACGGTGTAGATAAAGGGCACAGTGTATTTCAAGAGAACAAAATAATCTTTACTTGATTGCATGTTCAAATGATAATCTGGATATATTGAGTTAAATAAAAATATATTATTAAATGCAACCTGTCTTTTTTTTTTTTTTACTTTGTTAATCTGGTTGTTAGGAAATTTAAAATTGTACTTGTGGCTTGCATTATAATTTTTAAACAGTACTGTTTTAGACAATAAGTGTACTTTAAAAGAAAATATTATGCCATATTTTTAAGTGGTCATATTTTTCAGTGGTATAGTACAGTCGCAGGAACATTTCTTCATAATTTCTCATTGCTTTGTTATAGTTTCTAACACTTTGTATTTTTAGATTTCATGACCTCTCTGGCAATAAAGCACTTAGAGTCAGGACTCTACTTAGAGTCATACATTAACAGAATACTTACCTAAGAAGGATTTTAGAGCAGTTTAAAAGTGAAGATACTGAGGCTTGTATGTATTGTATCTTACTAAAGACTACATAGTTATTTAATTGATTGAAGAAACCATAGGTAAACCTTTTGTAAGGCAGACAATTACTTCATTAATGTTACTTGCTTTTTCATTAGTTCATTTTCTTTTAGTATATGCCAGTGGTTCTTAACTGGGGTTGACTTTGCTCTTCAGGGGGACATTTGGTAATGTCTGGAGACATTTTGGTTGTTAGAATGAAAGTAAATGCTACTGGCATTCTAATTGATAGAGACCAGAGATGCTGCTAATTATCCTGCATTGCATAGGACAAACTCCCACAACAAAGAATTTTCTAGCCTAAAATGTTAATAGTATTGAAGCAGAGAAAGCATCTTACATGCATTAGTTTTTTATGCTTAAAAATGATGGTATTAGTGGCACATATATGTCAAGCTGGTACGTACACATTGGACAGCTCTCTGGTTCAGCCTAGGCAAACTCTGGCATCTGTAGAGCTGAGGGTGGACATAAACACCAAGACTCATAGCAGGCTGAGACTTTACTTTCGAAGATTTCTTTTACTGTGATAGCACTGTGAGCAAGGACAAGACAACTATTGAATGAGCTGGCTGTCAGTTGGAAGTTCAACTTTTGTAAAGTCAAAGTTGTTTGATCTATGAGCCTCAGTTTCCTCATTGGTAAAATGGGGACAATTTAGGTAGACAAAGCACAAGCTCAGAGACCAACTGGGAGAGGAGAAGGAAGACAGTTACTGGTGGAGAGAGGGAGGCTGGGAGTCATTCTGAAGTTGGACTTTACTGGACAGATGAGTTTGCTTTCTCAGCCTGGCTGCCTTAATTTGCTCTTTCTGCTCTAGGGTCCATTGTGATTCTTGCCAGAAAGAGTTAAGGAAACATTAACTCAAAATGGGAAGTAAGAAGACCCTGGTTAGGGGGCCAGTGCAGACCTAAACAGGAAGTGTGTCTTGCTCTAGTGGTGTGACTGACTGATGTTTTGTTTGTGTTAGTATTTGTTTTATTTTCATAGAAAGAAGAATTTTGAACATGTGTATATTCATGTGCAGGTGATTCCAAGTGAAAAAGGAATTGTAATCCCTCTGATGATAGGATAGGAATGGAAAATAACTGACACATTGGAGAATTGATTAAAAAAAAGACAAGTGGCTGGGCATAGTGGCTCAAGCCTGCAATCCCAGCACTTTGGGAGGCCGAGGTGGGTGGATCACGAGGTCAAGAGATCGAGGCCATCCTGGTCAACATGGTGAAACCCCGTCTCTACTAAAATTACAAAAAATTAGCTGGGCATGGTGGCGCGTGCCTGTAATCCCAGCTACTCAGGAAGCTGAAGCAGGAGAATTGCCTGAACCCAGGAGGCGGAGGTTGGGGTGAGCCGAGATCGCGCCATTGTACTCCAGCCTGGGTAACAAGAGTGAAACTCCGTCTCAAAAAAGAAAAAAAAAAAAAAAAAGACAAGTGAAGCCAA